TTAGAATTTACAATGATGAACAATTTATTAAATAACATCCCATTTTTCTTCATCAACATAATACTCACACATGTTGTGCGGTATAAAATACAAGCTCAAAAATATAGAGTATTTTTACTGGGTAAGCTTTAGTCTTTGAAGACAGGAATGAATCCTGGGAGGGGTGTGGCTCAACATATTAACGTGGGGTTTAAAGGCTATCGGAGTCCCTTTTGCTCACCTGTTGAATCTTCTGGCAAGACCATCACTAATTAGGTGGACTGCCAGCATGTGGGCATTGTTTCCTTCAGCCATAATTAATGTCCACATTCCTCGGGTCTTGACCTTTGCTTTAACAAGGGCCCAGAGGGATTAACTGAACTTTCATACTTTGCAAAAGGATCTGGTGAAGGTTGGGGGAAGAGAAGGAAAACAACTGGGAGACAAAGAAGGCGTTTATCACAGGGTACCAAACCCACAGCTTCTGCTTTTTCCTGGAGTTGGCCCATGCGATTCATCAATCAGCAAGTATTTCCTCAGAACTGGAAGATGTTGGAAAGCCAACACACTGCTGGGTACAGACAGAGGTGACAAAAATGCTAAATCGCTTCCTATCCTGAACTATAAATGAATACACCCAACATGACCAACGGGAGTTTAGGAGTATATTTGAGAGGAGAAATAGGTCGGTAAGAGGATGGAAGAATGGAAGCGACTGTTGCCGCTTCCTTTCAATCAAATAGAGCTACTTTCCTCCAAAGACTCAAGTCTAGTGGAGAACACAGCCTGACACCAATTCACCATCCAGTTTCCTAGTTGGAGGCCAACCCTACCTGAGGAATATTGGGTGCTCACTTGAATTCATTGATTTGAAGGGAATAGTACTGAGGACCCCGGAACAAAGATTTTTAAGGAAAATAACTATATTCAGATAAATGGAGGCACTGTCATTCACATCCCAAAGGATCTTCACTTTCAAAGTCTGAAAATAGAAGTTTTTCAACCAAGGGCTTCCCCCTTCCCCAATAAATTAACTTCAATTGTAGAAAAATGGATCTGGAAGATATTTTTGAGATCTTTTGGGTACCCAATTGTACCATGCCTGCACCCTTTCCTATAGATAAGGAAATAGCTATCAGGATATTATCCTTGACAAGAGCAAATTTTGAAAGAATGTGTCCTAAAACTATGTCTTTTGATTCTCAGCTCTATAGGTTGGTCAACTTAGAAAGTACAAACATAAGATCAGGATCAGGTATAATGATAAAGTGACTTTAAAACCATCACATTAGTCAAAGAGATTAGCTGGTTAAAGAATTTCACATTTTACAACTACTCAGAAATGTATTTAAAAGAAATACTGATGTACCAATATCAACAATAACAAAAATATGTACAAAAAGAGTATTTATTATGCAACCACTGATCAACCAGGTTATTTCTAGTCTTATCAAAATCAACATGGCAATAAAAAGTCTCCTTGTCCCTCCAACCTCCTTATTAAAATGCATTAAATCTGTTTTTCTCATACATAGAAAGATAAGGTTATTAATTACAGGAACTGCTTATCAGCAAAATGTAAAACAGCAGGAGAGTCATTTGATGGTTTAGCTGAAAAGAAAAGAAATGATGGGAAGGAAGAAATTCAGAACAAAAGAAATCTTAGAGAATTAATAGGAAATCCATATTCATGAGGTATTTAATTTTTTAAGTTGAACATTTCTTGGAAAGGAATTTAATTTTGCTTTTAATTGACAAATTATAATTGTGTCTATTGGGGGGTGTATTCATACATTTTAAAAGAAAGATAATAATAACAAAGTATACGGATGTATATGTATGTATGTAAATTACCATTCAAAATTAAAAGAATAAATCATTTTATACTTCTATCAGAAATTTCACAAATTCAGAGATCACTTCATTCCCTGAATGATTCTGGCAGGCTGGGGTAGCTGAGGGCTGCAGGGAGGAGGGAGAAGTGTGACTGCAAGCCTTGTTCAGGTGCCTGATTTTGATCCTTATAGGATCTTGTCAATAACTGGAGTTTTGGGGCTTTAGTGGTTATGAGAACTTCATTTCACAGTTACTCAAAATAAATGCCTTTCAAATAGATGGCAGGGGATTATCTTCTCTCTAGAAAGTAGAAAAATGCAGTAGTCGATTCTGTAACTTTGTGTTTAGAGCACCACTGTTAAATTCACAGTCAGCTTTCACCATTGTGTTTTCTTGCCTATCAATCAGAATGTTTGGGAAATGGATTCTCAAGTTGTATGTCAGTCGATGATTTTACTAAAAAAAACCCACATCAATGCTGGATTTATTTACATTTAACTTTTATGAATGCATATGTCATGGTCACAGGTTTTAATTTTCTTCATGAAATAAGCTAGTGGAAGTCACTGCTGTTGATGCAAACAAAGGTTTCTATTCTAATTTATCTGAAATATACATGGAAGTTTAGTAAATCTAGTCACAGCCCCTAATTTGGAGGAACAGCTACGCTGGGAACTGAGAGCCATTATTATTTTTGTTTGTTTTCCTTAAATAGGAAGAAATATTTGTAGTATATTTAAGTATAGGTGACAGACAGTTTAAATTCACAAAGCTTTATGACTGGAAGCAGCAGATTTTATAAAATAAAGTGTTATGTGCTACTATTTATCTACCTACCTACCTATCTACTTAGTTACCCGGCTATCCATACATCTTTTCATTTATTAAGAGAGTTTCCCAAAAATCTTTGCAGCTATAGAATGCTTTAAAAAACTCATTTGAAAATGTAGCATAACAGAGGTGTTCTGGATGTGTCTGGGGAGAAGCTGATACCCAAGTTGGCCCTGCCTCTACTTCACTGTGGGTTGAAAGAATAATCAAGTGTGGGAAGCGCTGTAACCTCAAGGTGGCTGCCTCTGTATATCTCAAGGGGAAATGCTTAAAATCAGCTTGTGTAATGGGAACCAAAAAAAAAAAAAATCAGCAATATAGACCTCATTAAGATTAATTGATTAAATACATACTGCCTGTTTTTAAATGTTACTAACTTGAAATACCATAGCAAAATTCACATTTTAAACAATGAATCTTAAGTGTTTAACATTTCCAAAATCATAGCCTATTAATTAAAAAGCCATTGTTAGATAGGATAGTTCTGGAAGAACCCACTGTTCATTATTTATAAAGAAGGGATCTCAATTTACATTCTGTAATGCAGTTAGAGGGAGTGCTTCATTCTTTATTTGCTTACATTTTTATTTCAATCTATAAAGGAAACCTGTTTTGGCCATTGTACAATATTTGTATAGTTGGCCAACTTGTGTTTAATCATGTTCGTATTTGAATGTGGGTTGGGGACTGTAAGCTCTCAGAGGACGGGACACTCACAGCTGCTTAACTTCAAGCTTCTGCCAACTGTTGTATGTTGTCAGGTGCCTGGGGATATCTTGGAGCCAGACCCCTTTCTTGTTGCTTTCTTTCCCTTCTCATTCTCCCTCTGGATCTCATTCAGACTTTTTAATAAGAGTAAACCACTTCCCTCCATAAAAAGATTCCATATGCAGAACTTTCCTGTTAAGCATCTGTCATACAGGACTGAAAACTACACAAAGTGCAGAGGATATGGGAATCTGGCCAAAATAATTTTCAGAGACTTTGAAGTCATTAAGCTCCACTAGTTGTACCCCACTAGCACTGTTGCTCTTTTTTTTTTTTAAATGAAACATTGAATTAGCTCATCAGCATATTCCAATAAAGCCCAGATGGTCAGACTTTACAATCCCCATGACAGCATTTCATAATTAATGTTAGAAATAGAAGAGATAGGTGGGTGGGTGAGTTAGGATTCTCTATGACAATGGGATAGCCAGGCTAGGTATCTTCTTAGATATGGGTTCAACTTCCCCCTAACTCTTTGTTATTAGATTATATTTTATTTCTAGGATTCTTCTAGATCCAAAGGGACAATGCTGGCAGCAAAGATCCATTGCTACTTCAAAGCAGGAAGTCTTTGTGCTTTTAAAAAGTTTCCAAAGGAGCCGGCGCCGCGGCTCACTAGGCTAATCCTCCGCCTAGCGGCGCCGGCACACCGGGTTCTAGTCCCGGTTGGGGCGCCGGATTCTGTCCCGGTTGCCCCTCTTCCAGGCCAGCCCTCTGCTGTGGCCAGGGAGTGCAGTGGAGGATGGCCTAGGTGCTTGGGCCCTGCACCCCATGGGAGACCAGGAGAAGCACCTGGCTCCTGGCTCCTGCCATCGGATCAGCGCGGTGCACCGGCCGCAGTGCGCCGGCCGCGGCGGCCATTGGAGGGTGAACCAACGGCAAAAGGAAGACCTTTCTCTCTGTCTCTCTCTCTCACTGTCCACTCTGCCTGTCAAAAATAAAAAAAAAAAAAATAAAAAAAAAAGTTTCCAAAGGAGAGAAGATAACTCTTTGAAATTTACGTGTCTCACTAAGTGTGAATCAGGGCATTCAACTCAGGCAATTATAGCAGCTTTCAATTTTGGGGAGAGAAAGTCAATCCTGAATGGATTTCTGTCCTGACATATGTGTATTGGGAATGAAGGGGTAAACTATGGGGAAAGCCTACTGAAATGAGACATCATTTATTCTCAGACATCAGGGTCCTTAAAGTCATAGATGAGCACATATGGAGCAACTGGTAATCCATTCACTTATTCCCCAATACATTCCTCAGGTGTTTATTTGGTGCCTGGGATGTACCAGACACTGGACCAAGTTTGAATTATAAGGAAAACGTCTTTGTCTCAAAGGTTTATAGGTGTGTACTTTGGAAACACAAATAAACCCTAATGTGCAGGCATAAAAAGGCGCAGGGAGCTGAAGAGAAAGCAGAAGGGGAGCCTAACCTAGTCTTGGAGGTAGAGGTATGAGTGGCATTGACATGAGAGACTACAGGAGATGGGTGTGAGACAGTGTGAGAGGTGAAGAGAGAGAGAACCATACATATACTTTGAAGGGCTTTTGAACTAAATTGTCTGACCTTGATCTGTGTTTGCATTTCTTAGACTTTGATATCCTGATGTCACCAAATCTTAAACTCCCAGGATATGCAAGAAATTTCTTTCCTGGAGAATTGCTTTTGCAAGGTGAGTTATTTGAAATATTTGTTAGTCAAGGAGTAGAATTCAAAATCTGCATAAAGTTCCTAAGATATTTTGTGCTTGTGATGGGTAACTTCAGGTTATACCTCCTGGCCTGCTCACTCTTCTGTCATTAGGGGAATCCTTGTGAAAAAGTTTGCAAAGCACATTGTGAAATGGAGCTACTTAAGGGTTTTAAGCAGACCAATGACAGGAGCCACTTCGCAGTTCGGAAAGACCCTGGGCTGCAAGAGAGAGAATGATTTAGAAAAGAGTGAGAGTGATAGCAATTAGAACTGCTAGTTGGCTACTGCAGTCACTGATATAAGAAATTATATTGACTCTAACTAAGGCAGTAATAGCAGGGATTTGCAAGATATTAGAGCCACAGACTCAATGGATAGTTGTTGATTCATTTATTTAATAAACTTTTATTGAGTGGCTATCATGTTTCAGGTGCTGTTCTGTTTTCATAGCAAGGAACAACACAGAGAAAAACCTGCCTTCTTGGAATTATATTCTAGTAGAAAGAGACAAAACCAAATAAAGAATAAATTGTTCACATGAATCAGTAGCAAATATTCAAAAGGAAATGAACTGGGTAATGTGATATTTTCCTGGGAAGTAGGTATGGTGGTCAAAATTGGGATGTGGGGAGTGAGCAAGGAATGAGGTATACATGATGAGTAAATGACTGTGTCCTATATTGAAACACAAGGAAAAGTGGCTATTTGAAAGGGGATGATGTTGAGGTCAGTTTGGGAGATCCAGAAGAATATGCCCCCAAAGAATGACTTTGGAATCTAAATGGAAATATAAAGAGATGAAAGATAAATGGATGGGTAGATAGGTATAGGGATGATAGATAGATAGATAGATAGACAGACAGACAGACAAAATACATGCTCAAGAGCATGCGTGGTTACAAACACATCCACGTAAGTAGCACATGGAGTTATGCCACTCGAGGATGGGGATGTAATAAACCTAAACTTCAAAATATCAGCAAATCTTAAAGGAAGGTGAGGTCCTAAGGAACTCTGGAGCAGTTGGAGAGGTGTGAATAAAAAATCATGTATTCTCCAGTGGCTTAGGATCATCATCGTGTATGAAATGAAAGACATGTTCCTTCATATTCAGTAGATATAGTGGGATGGTTTGATTTGGTGCATGTGATGCTCCGCTTTTATTTTATTTAAAAAACTTTCTCTCTCTCTCTCTCTCTCTCTCTCTCTCTCTCTCTCTTTCTTTGACAAAGATCTCTCATTCACTCTTTCACTTCCCAAATTCCTGCAACAGTTGGCACCTGGCTGGAGACAAAGCCAGGAGTCAGGATCTCAATCCAGGTCTCCTATGTGGGTGGCAGGGACTCAACTACTTGAGTCATCATCAGCTACCTCCCAGGGTCTGCATTAATAAGAAACCAGAATTAAGAGTGCAGCCAAAACTCAAATACAGCAGACACTTCAATATGGGATGATGGCATCCTAAGCAGTGGCTTAACCACTACACCAAATGTCTGCCTCTACTCTGCTAAGTGTTCACATAGGAAGCCTGGTGGAGCAGTTAAGTGCTCTGCTTTGGGTGGGCTCTGGACATCACTTCCTCACCATCCATGTGAACTTCAAAAAGGCACCTGTAAAGTCCCCAGATAGACCATAATCTATAATGAGGCCCATACCCAGCAGCTCAGGGAAGCCATTAAGATAATGAGGGAATCTGGTGTTTTTCCTTCCCAGTTCCCCAGAGCACCAATTATGGGATTTAAAACCCCAAATTCCAAGAGTGCATTGACATTGAAAAACACCAATTTTTTTTTTCCTCCCCAAACAATGTACAATAACGAAACCAGTAGGGTGAAAAAGGAGGAAACCCAGGAAACCCTTTCTGGGAAGAGGAGGAACAGTATATAAACATTTTTTCAACCCTCCAACTGATCCTCTACCACAGCTCAGTGTCTTTCTCTGACTGCTCTTGCTTAATAATGTTAGCATTTACATTGACCTTTAAATTGGTCGTTTGGCTGGAGACAGTTTTTGTGAGGCAGATTTAGATAGGATCTGCCCATGGGTTTATACTGAAATCCTTCGTAATTATAAAAACCACAGACCTTACTTGCAGTCTTCCAACATCAACACTGACGGACGCCCCACCTTCAAGAAAAACAAATGTGCCCTCATGAAAGAACACCTTGAGTAAAGGAAAGTTTCTTGGCCAGTGCCGTGGCTCACTAGGCTAATCCTCCGCCTTGCGGCGCCGGCACACCAGGTTCTAGTCCCGGTCGGGGCACCGGATTCTGTCCTGGTTGCCCCTCTTCCAGGCCAGCTCTCTGCTGTGGCCTGGGAGTGCAGTGGAGGATGGCCCAAGTGCTTGGGCCCTGCACCCCATGGGAGACCAGGGGAAGCACCTGGCTTCTGCCTTCGGATGAGTGCGGTGCGCCGGCCGCAGCAGCCATTGGAGGGTGAACCAACGGAAAAGGAAGACCTTTCTCTCTCTCTCTCTCTCACTGTCCACTCTGCCTGTCAGAAAAAAAAAAAAAAAAAAGAAAGTTTCTTTTCTGATGTGCAGCTTGAAATAGGTCTTTACATGAGTTATCCTCATATAGGAGATGGAAATGAGTGATCCCTTCCCAGACATGGGGTTGTGTGTTCAGAGTAGGCTTAGAAACCACAGGTACAGGACAAAACCTGGAAGACAGATATCTTCGGAGAATGTTGGTCTGTTAATTGGTTATTCAGGGAACAGAATTAGAAAGATTTAATGCACAATAAGAAAACAGTATACAAAAGAGATGGCATCAGTTACCAATGGCCTTATTCCAGAATTGAATGTGGCTTTTTTTCTCAGTTTGTTTTTCAGTATTTTTTTTCTCTTATGTTCAGAGTGTCAGGTGATTCCTAAGGCATGCCCAAACTCTGAGGTTAGTGCTACACTTGTCTAGGCTGAAGTACCATAGACACCAAGGATTCCTTAACTTTATAGTCTAGACCTGATGGGCTGCCCAATGACCAAATATGTGTTTCCATTTGTGAACTGTATGAATACCATTCTATAGCCACATTTTTCCAAACCCAAAACAACCTGAATGTAACTCTCAACATTTTGCTTGAGAATAAGATGAAACTCAGGTAGATGACTTACTAAGGGTTACTAAATGCCAGTCCCAGGCTTGGTGACACTATAAAATCAGTTTAAATTTGCTATTCAAAACAAAAGATAGGTAGTGTTTTAAGTTTAAAGATATGAGGAAATGGAACTTTTTAAAAAAGAAAATATCATTTGCCTAACCTTATTTAATACTGGCAGAAAGAATATTTCAGCTTGAGCCCCTGCCATTATAATAATGTTTGTTTCATTTGTGTTTGTGTTTTTCTATTAGAAAAGAAATAATTAAATTAAGGAAGATCCATGATAAAAGGGACAGGTGCTAAATTGACAGAGTGAGGTAGTGACCACCCAAGAGCAAAAAGGTATCTATGGGCTGGCTCCCTGTCCCTCTGTTTCTCCCTGTTGGTGAATTCACCACTGCTTAGATTCTGACTCTCATACTTGCAAGGTCAAACATTTAATCTGGTTTGTTTTTTAACACTGATCAAGCTCAAGTATATCTTTCTTTCAAACATCACACAGAGATGTGCACACACCCACCAGACTGCAATAGCTACTCTCATAATTGGGAATTGATTAGTAAGGTGACTAGATCAAGATCTCAATCAGTCTTGAAGACTTAAGTCTAAATTACCAGTGTTTGCCTCTGGTGTTTCCTTTTCCAATGGTTCTTTGGGTAAATAATCCCTCTTTAATTTACTATATTAGTACAACTAATTAGAGTATTGACAATAGGGTTGACACTTTTTTAAAAGTTTCTTAAAATACCTTTGTATTTAGCCATGGCATGGATTTCAGTTCAGTTTTTAGTGAGTAGACATTAATTTTACCCAAATCTAGTCATCCCTCCACCCATCTAGGGGAGAAAGAACCAATTGGGAACTTTGGGTATACCTGGGAATAGAAAAATAATCCAGTTTTCATTGGGTTGACATAATAAAGTAGATAATAAATAAAAACTAAGATAGTCATTACTCTGCATGCAAATTATATAATTTATTTGACATAACGGTCCTCTAATCTGATGCTTCATTGAGAAAATTTCAAGCGGCTCATTTGTAGCATAAAGCTTCATTCTGGAAAAAATTTCCTCATGAGTAATTATACAAAATTTAAATAAAAATGCTGTCACCAAGTAAATCTGGTAAATTATGCTGTTACAGTATCAAGGCATCAATTTAATTGTCATATGTCTGTAAATACTAGAGAAGAATTTGCCCTCCCTTTAAGAAGATAATGACTGGCAGTTTTCAAGATGCAGTAACTCAAAGGACAGTCTTGTGTAGACTTCAAATACTTATACAAAGGATGTGGTTTATGCAGGAGGTAAAACAAGGGCATGAAAAAGGAAATGCTACTTTTAAACCCATTACAAATATTAGGCAAAAATTGGGAAAGGACACTGCGATGGAGTTAAGAAAGGTTATATTTCAGCACACAATATTATAATCCCATTCACAGAGAAAGACATCCCTCAGTTGTAAGCCTCACAGAAACCCATTACATGTCAATCAGGTTTATATTATGAGCAGTAGGCAGAAAAGATGAAGGAGAAATACTCACTTACAGCATATCAAGGCTTTTCTAGTGAAAAAATAAGGACTCATGTTTGTCCTTAGATGAAATGGAAGCAGGACATACTTAGGGTACATGGCGTGGTGACTCAAAGAACTGGACTTACAGGTGGAATAGGCACTGGATGGTGCAGTTCAGCAGCATGAAGTCCCCTTCATCCAAAGCAACCCTGCCTTTATCTGCTACGGAAATTCCTCCATGGAATTTCTCTATGATAATGCTATTTTTAGTCAAACTAAAAATATCCAATGGGAATGAACATTAAGCTGCTGCCAATTATATACTTCTCAGTGGTAACATTTTAAACAATATTTACTTGACAAAAGTTTAATTATGTGCTAGGTTCTATACAGCCAGTGGGGGCATTATATGGTATTCATACAGCCGTGATTACTTGCCTCATGGATCTTACATTCTAACTGGGGAAACAGCCACCAATCAAATAACCTCCAAATTAGTGTTCAATTATAGAGGGAAATAAGAACCATTCCGAGGAAAAGCTAGGTTTATAAAAACATATGTTGGGGCTGGCGCTGTGGCATAGCTGCCATCTACAGTGGTGGCATCCCATATGGGTGCTGGTTTGAGTCCCAGCTGCTCCACTTCTGACCCAGTTCTCTGCTATGGCCTGGGAAAGCAGTGGAAGATGGTCCAAACCCTTGGGCCCCTGCACCCGTGTGAGAGACCTGGAAGAAGCTCTCTGCTCTTGGCTTCGGACTGGCCCAGCTCCAGCAGTTGTGGCTAACTGGGGAGTGAACCAGTGGATGGAAGATTTCTCTCTCTCTCTTTCCTTCTCTCTGCCTCTCCTTCTCTCTGTGTAACTTTGACTTTCAAATAAATAAATACATTTTTAAGAATATGTCTTTGTTTAGATGCAGATTTCTGAGAAGTTCTAGAAGGAAGTGATTATTGAGCCTACTGCTGAAGGATGAACAGGAGACCAGTAGGTTAAGAAAAGGGTAGAAAATAATTTTGAGCAAAATAGCAATATCTTCAGTATCTATAAAACGGAATATTATTTAGCCACAAGGAGATAAACTGTTTCTAAATACTACAACACAATTAAACCCTGAAAACATTAAGTGAAAGCAGCTAGACACAAATGGTGTCTGAAATTTCAGGATTCTACTCATGAAATTTCCATATAAGCAAACTCACAGAAATAAAATAGTGGTTGCCAAGATTTGGTGGCTGGAAGAAATAAGGATTGACTATTTAATAGTAGGTATGCCTTTCCTTTGAGAAAAGATGAAAAAATTCTAGAACTTAATAGTGGTGATGGCTATACACAATGTTAATGGACAAAAATACCATGGAGTTGTTCACTTTAAAATGGTTTAAATGATGAATTGTAGGCTATGTGTTTTTACTACAATTAAAAAGAAAAAAAAGGAGAAAGAAAGACAGAGACAGAGAGAGAGAGAGAGAGAGAGAGAGAAAGAGAGACAGACATGTGTTCAAAGGTTACACCTCTTGAGAGGAGTGAGCGTAGCTCCTTCCAGGACCTGAAAACAGTAGGCTTGGATGGTAGAGATGATGAGGAAACAGGAGAGGCATGAGGCTAGGACAAGAACCATATTAGGATCTGACCTTAACTTGGGAGGACTAACAAGCCACTCAAGTTGAGTGTGCATTTGTGTGTGAGGAGGGAGTAATATCTGATATACTCATATTTATATATATTAAAAAGATAACTATATAGCCAAGTACAAGTGAATTTTATGACTTAAGAAGAAAGTGTAGTAGATAATGCACAAGGCAAATGCTGCTTCCTTCCCAGTGTTGCTGTGCTAATTCTGTCTGGATTCTTTTAGATGAACCAGTAGAGAAATCTTGGGATTAGCATAATGCAGGAGGATATTTCAGAACAAAGTAAAGCAGAAGCTGCTGTTTGTATTGTGGAAAATTATATTAAAATTAGAAAGTGAAGGGATTGATTAGAAGCATTTAATGGGTTTTTAAGATGAGAGGGTGGGGAGGGAGGAAGGACAAAGATGGTAGAATAGGGAGGGAGCTTACTGCTCTAGTCTAGGGGGAGATAATTAAAAAAACATGGAGAGTGCAATCTCAGGGAAGAGATAGGGAGAAAACCACAGAGGAAACTCCATACACATTAGAGGGACACTGTGGACCTACGTGGAGGGTGTGGACATGCACAACTCAGGATCTCAGCAGCAAAAAGACTAAGCACCAGCTTTGGAGAGTGAGGTGAGACCAGACTGCAGCAGCCGGAGCCACTGGTGATAAAGCTGCTTAAAGAGCCTGGAATGAGTCTGGCTTGGAGCCCTTTGGAAGACAGTATACCGGCCAACCTAGAGGAGGAACAAAAGCGGGGGGCTTCATTTCTCTCTCTCTGACCGCCCATAACCGGAGTCCTGTAACTAGCCAACAGCAGGCGGGCACCATTTTGGACATACTAAGAGCTGCACAGGCTCATGTCCATGCACCCAGCAACCAGCTGAGAGGAGGTTCCTGAGTCTGACTGGGAGAACTGACAGGGGCTGCCTGCTCATGATTGTGGGAGTGATGTGTGCTGGGACTGCGAAAACACTGGCAGTGTGTGAGGGCGGAGGTGTGGCTTTATCTTTGGGCAGTCACTGTGAGCGCTCCACATGCGTGGGGCTCCCCGATTCCCTGGGAGGGTCATTGCTGCAGGATCTGCGCTCACATTGAGGACGGCATGGATCCTTTGTGTGGTTCTTGTGGCAGCACAGAGGAGCATTGTACCCACTGGGGCTAGCGCCCAGGTATTGGTCTCCTTTGAGGAGAGGAGGTAAGTGTGAAACTACACCAACAGAGCTGGACAAACCTCAGAAAATCTCAATTAGACTCACAGCTGACTTCTCATAAGAAACCCTACAGGCTAGGAGAGAATGGCAAGATATATTCCAAACCTTAAGAGAAAAAAACTATCAACCAAGAATTCTGTATCCTGCAAAGCTCTCATTTATGAATGAAGATGAAATATTTTCCATAACACATGGAAATTAAAAGAATTTGTCACCACTTGTCCAGCCTTACAAAAGATACTTAAGGATGTGCTACACAGAAACACGGAAATATGGTCATCACTATGAAAAGTGAAGGCAGAAAATCTCCCAGGAAAAGTACAAAAGAAATCCAGAGTGAACAATAGGAATATTTATAGAAAAATGGCAGGACCAAGTCATTATTTATCAATAGTTGCCTTGAATGCAAATGGCCTCAACTCTCCAGTTAAAAGATACAGACTGGCTGAGTGGAAAAAAAAAAACAAAAAACAAACAAACAAACAAGACCCATCTGTTTGCTGCCTACAAGAAACACATCTCACCAACAAAAATACATGCAGACTCAAAGTGAAAGGATGGAAAAAGATATTCCATTCTAATAGAAACCAAAAAAGAGCTGGTGTAACCATCCTAGACTTTAACACAAAAACTGTTAAAGGAGACAAAGAAGGGCACTATGCAATGACTAAGGGATCAATTCAACAGGAAGATGTGACTATTTTAAATGTATATGCACCTAATTACAGGGCAGCTGGCTATTTAAAAGAAATGTTAATTGATCTAAAGGGAGACATAAATTCCCATACAATAGTAATGGGGAACTTGAATACCTCACTTTCAGCAATGGACAGGTCAACCAGATGGAAAATCAGTAAGGAAACAACAGTTAATCAACACTATAGACCAAATGGACCTAACCGATATCATCCTACATTTGCAGTATACATACTCTTCTCACCAGTGCATGGAACTTTCTCTAAGATAGACATCAGGCTATGCCATAAAGCAAGTCTCAGCAAATTCAAAAAAATTGAAATCATACCATTCATCTTCTCTGACCACAATGGAATGAAGCTGTAAATCAGCAACTCAAGAATCTCTAGAACATATGCAAACACATGGAGACTCACGAATGAACAGTGGGTCACAGAAGAAATCAAAAGAAAAATAAAAAAAAACTGTTGAGGAACAGTTTTTTTATATACCATTTGTTGAATTCTTTACTTAGTATAGAGTTAATATTCCGTGTATTAAATGAAAATAGATCTTAGAATGGGAAAAGTGAGGGAGGAGGAAGAAGTGTGGGAGTAGGGTGGGTGGGTGGGTATTGTGGGAAGAATCACTATCACTGTGTTCCTAAAGTTGTGTTTATGAAATGCATGAAATTTATATACCTTAAATAAAAGGTTTCTGGGGGAAAAAGATGAGAGGCTGATTGGTGCTAGAGACAGAGGTTTATAGTTCTTTAGAGTGAAGCAATGAAGAACAGTGCTCAGGTGTAGTTGGAATTGTAAGTGATGGTGACAATATGATTTCAGTTCTCCATAGTTAAAAAAGTCCCTGCAAGACAGACCAGAACTTCTGGACTCCAGATGATTTGTAGAATCTGATTGGCCACAGGGACTTGGCTGCATTGAGTCTGTCTGTTCCAACAGGGTTTGCCACACTGGGATAAAAACAAAGCCAAGTCTGAGTTTAGGGAAGTGCTTCAGGAGCATAAAGGCTTACTTCTGGTAGGAATTAGAAGGCTGCTTAACAGACAAATACAGCACTTTAAAGTTACTCTTCATTTCTTGCATTCTTTCTCAAGCTGTATGTGTTTACTGAGCTTTGCCTATTATTGGGTACACAAAAATGTCATGAATATGTACAATTATTATGTCAATTTAAAAAATAACTAAAAAACTAAAATTAGGTCATGCTTAATGAAAATTAAGAAATTACATATATAACTTAAAATATTTATGTATTTATTTGTTCTTATTCAAAAGGCAGAGACAGATCAAGAGAGAGACAAAGACAGAGAGCGCTTCCATCTTGTTCACTCCCCAGATGCCTGCCACAACCAGAGCTGGGCCAGGGTGATACTAGGAGCCCAGAACTCAGTCAGGTCTCCTAGATAGGAGCAGGGACCCGAAGGCTTGAGCCATCACTACTTCCTCCCAGAGTGTGCATTAGCAGGAAGCTAGAATCAGAAGCAGAGCTGGGACTGGAACCTAGAAACTCTGACAGAGTTCCTGCTGCTGTGCCAAAAGTTCACCAACAAAATCTACTTTTAAAGGTAAGATATGTGAATGAAATTTTCTATTTAGATCATAGGGCAGAATCTACAAACTCTTACTTACTTCCTAACTAAATATCGGCTTTAAGAGTTATTTTCACAGTAGATACAGTGTTCAAATTAACACATTTTAGCAAACTAAAAAAAATAATGTTTTGCCTTGGTGTCATTGTTTTCCTCATTTGGTATTTTCCTCCCAGGATAATATAATAATAATATATTTAATATATATTTATATATATTATATATATTTAATATATACATAATATATTTTTTAAATACCAAGAAGTACCTCAGGTAAAAATTTGAATATGAATAAAAGGATAGACTTATCTGTTTTTACTTATATACATGTAAACTTGTTCATCATATTCCATTATAAAATGTAAGGTTTTGAGAGTCATCTGAAAATGGTAAAACAATTGCTTGGTGAAATCTAATAAAGTAATTTTCTTATGAATACAGTTTTCAGAAAAGAGAACTGTCCAAGTTCCCATAGCAATGAAATAGCACTGCATAAAAATCCCCAGTAACTTGGCTATTCTTATCAGATCTCTAATAGAAAGGCTTCCCACTGTGCCAGTGAGCAGATGGACGGGGCTACCTACTTTCTGCAGAGTTGAAGATTGGTCAAGAGATCAAGGAACAATTTAATTCGAAGATTTCCTATCAACTCGGTACATTTGTAAGGACGGAACCCAAAAGGCAAGTGGGGGAATGAAAGGACACTGATACCCAGTGCTCAGTAAATCTAAAAATCCAAAATAAATAGCAATATTTTCAACTTAACTCAATGGCTTAAAGTCAGCTGAAATATTCTATTTTTTTAAAAAAAGCTTCACTTATTCTATGTAATTATTGTGGCTAAAGTCAGTGTCATATGTATTGTATCTCTAATAACAAGTGCCTCCTAAGTACCTAGAGAAGACTGACAGGCTTCTTAGAACTCTTGCTGTGGGGAAAAGAGAAACCTAGGGAGGGAACAAAAATCAAACAAATTTTTTAAACTCCTTAATGCTGATAAGTCTGAATTTGGAAGTGTTTCCTTCATTGAGTCACTGATACTACTCCTATTATCAAGAATAACTAGAAAAAGCGATTTTTTATAACTCAAGACTCATACATTTCTAGGATATCTATAAATGGGCTTTTAGAGGTCTGTGAACCCCTATTCCTCAGCAAGTCTTATGATAAATTATATGTGATAGTTACACTGTATCAATTTGGATAAGATGGAACTATATGTTTTCCAGAATTCCCTTTTGTGCAGATTTCCAAGGTAGTGCTGGCCTCAGAAGACATTTTGCATAACACTTAGAAAGTGGAAGTGGAGCCATAGCCTGCATGGCAGGTGGGTGTGGGGCACTGGCACTGTGGGAGCTCATGCGTGTTGCTATTTACCTGCTGGCTTACCTTGCTGGCATGAGGCAGTAAGCAGCTGGCCTCCTGCCAGATCCTCCTGCTGAGTCAGCTTCCCTAAATCTTGGACCGGATGCATACTTAGCTCCATGAGGGAAGGTACCAGTTCCTCCTCACCCAGCTTGCTTTGCTTCCTCTGTCTTCTATTCCCAATCTGTGGACTTCAGGTGCCAGTGCCAGACACAGAAACACCAAATTGAAATCTTTACTAAGCCCTTTTAACCAGTTCCCACAATATTATAAGGTTCAATCCCTATAATTAAAAATATTTATATATTAGTATCTGTATAGTATATATAAATATGTACTTTATATGTATATATAATTAATAAACAATAAAATGATACTCTATATTGTTTTGGTAAACCTTAAATGTTACATTGCATGCTAAAGCATACTTTTTATTTTATTTTATTATTATTAGTTTTTTTTAAAACCAGGGAGGTTGCTTCTCCAAGCTGTGGATATGCTTCATAGATCTCCCCTTTTTTTATGTGAAGGAGAAAGAGAGAGAGAGGGGGCTCATGTACCCATCCATCATTTCACTCTCCAAATCCCCTCAACTTCCAAGGCTGGGCCAGGGCCAAAGCTATGAGTTGAGAACTTAATCTAGGTCTCCCACATGAGTGACAGAGACCCAGCTACTTGAGTTGTCACTGCTGCCTAAAGGTCTAATTTGATAGGAAGCTAGAGTGTAGAGCTTGGCCTTAGAATTTAACTCAGGTGCTCTGATGGAGAACACGGATTTCCTAATCAGTGTCTGAACTGCTGGGCTATGTCAAGTGCCCTTCCCTAAAGGATAATTAAAAAAAAAAATTCCAAATGTAACTCTTATACAAATACATAGTGAACATAGCATGTGGAAAACACAAATTACTAATGGGTGGCAAAAGATGTTCAAAGAAAGATACAAGGATTGATATGAAAATAAAATGAAGTGTGCTGGAATGTGATTGCTAAATTATATGCAAAACTGGTTAGTGTGCTCAGTGAAAAGGAAAACATAATCTTTGGGACTATCTTCCTTTTGGAGAGAAGTCATTTGCATCTCAACTAGGCAAGAATCATTAACCGCACCAATTTTCTATAAAATAAAATGTAACTCTACAGAGTCTGGGCCCTAATCAATAGTTTATGGTAAGTCAGACAAGGTACATCCTCAAAAGTCAGATGGTCTTGGACAGACTTGTCAGACCCTGCTCTAACAAAGGTTTGAAATGGCACTGTCGTTCTTTTGATTTCTTTCCAAATTTTGGATAGATTATTAGCACATTTATAAGAATTTTTGCTACAGAAAGCATCCATAGTCTACATTAAAAGGACTTGCAATTAAGAAAATATGAGAAGAATCAAAATAATAATATATAACACCATATTCAAATTCTGTAATAATTACAAAAATAAGAAAAACCAGTTTTATCCTGGAAGTTATTTTTTTAAGATTTATTTATTTGTTTTGGTGGAGGAGGGTGAAAGAGAGAGAAAGTCTTCCATTTGTTGGTTCACTCCCCAAATGCCCTGAACAGCCAGGGCTGGACCAGGCCAAATCCAGGAACCAGGATGAAGCACTTGAACTGTCATCCACTGCTCCCCAGGTACATTCACAAGGAGCTGAATTGGAAGTAGAGTATCTGGGACTGGAACCAGCACTCTGATGTGGGATGTGGGCATCCAAAGTGGTGGCTTAAACTACTGTGCCACAACTTCCCCTGAAAGTTCTCACTTAGTTGAACGTTTCCCTCCCATTGCCAATATAAATATTAAAAAGCTCATATTAGCTATATTTTTAACTAACAGTAAAAATTTGTTCATTTATTATTTTAAGCTACTATATTGTCTCTTACTTTAAATAATGGTAGCCAACATATCCCAAGGGCTTTCTATGTATGAGGTACCTTCGTCTGTCTGAAGTTCAGAACACCTCAGTGGAATAGATAGCTGGCCATGTGTTCTAGAGAATGTCAGCTCTGGGAATGACTAAGTAGAGCCACAGTATGGGTATTTGGACCCACAGCTGTATAAACCGTTATCTTCTACCATCTCCCCCAGAAAAATAAACATGTTTATTACATATTCACTGCTAATCTCCTTTGAAATCAATATGCAGTGTACACAAAATGCCTTGCTAACCTGAGGCTGGCCCATGAGAGAGAGCTCATTACAAGTTAGTTTTCTTCAAGTCTGCCCACCCCACCCCCACCTCTCACAGAAGTGAGGGGTTGCTAATGCTTAATTTACCTCTTTTCGCTTAGTAATGTCAGAATCTTAAATATCATGATTATAAAAATGACCCCAAAATCTGTTTCTCCAAACCCCAAATCGCCTCCACATTTCCATTGGCTTGCTGGGTTTCCCCATGGATGTTTTCCTAACATTTCAAATTTTGTTTCAAGTAGAGCACACCTCTTTCCTTTTTTTTTAAAAAAAGATTTATTTTATTTATTTGAAATACTGAGTTACAGAGAGATAGAGACAGAGAGAGGTCTTCCATCCACTGGTTCACTCCCCAGATGGCCACAATGGCCGGAGCCAGGAGTCAGGCGCTTCCTCCAGGGCTCCCACACAGGTGCAGAGGCCCAAGGACCTGGGCCATCTTCTACTGCTATCCCAGGCCATAGCAAAGAGCTGGATTGAAAGAGGAGCAGCCGGGACTAGAACCAGTGCCCATATGGGATGTGGGTGCTTCAGGCCAGGGCTTTAACCCGCTGCACCACAGCACTAGCCCCACCTCCTTCCTTCAACACTGCCTGTCATGATGCTCGCACTTCTGTGTTCCCTGGTATTAGTGGTGTCACCAGGAAACCCATGCCTTTCTCTCAGTGCCCCCTCTCACCCTGGAGGCGGGCATGTGTCAGCCAGGGCACAGGAACAGCGGTTGTGAGGATCCAACCTGATGTCACCACAGCCATCTTGCCCTTTAGGTGACTCTGACGGTCAACCTAAACTCTATGAGAGGAACGAAGTCGTGTGGGGACCTCTGCCACAGTATTATAATTGCTCCTCTATGACATGGGGTTTGCCAGTCTTTAAGGGTATCGTGCCCTTCACAGTTAAGCAAATCCTTTCTGACATTTACCAGCCTCTGAGCTTTTGTTTACCTAAACACTTTCTTTTGCTTTCTGGCTCACTTGGCCTCGTAGATCAGTCTCAAATGCTACCTTCCCCATAAACGTTTTGTGCTTCTTTTCTAACATTTATTTGTACTCTGTTGTATTATATACTACACTTTGTGTACTTGACTCATTTCTGACTTAAGCTTTAGTACAGCAACAGCCTTATTTTTTTACTTTCCCTCTCTACCTAGCCTTATACCTTGGAAACATTTTGTGCTCAATAAGATCTTTGCAATGAACTATTTGGGAACAAAGCCCTGGAAAACGTGATGCCGGTGGTCTTTCTATATTATGGGGCCCATCTGCTTGCTATCACCTGTTTCCCACCTGCTGTCATTACTTGCATAAAACTCCATCTGCTCTTTCTTCTCCTCTTCCAAGCCTGACTTGGCAATAAATCTGTCAGAGCTACATCAGAGTTGCCTAGTCAGCAGTACATTTCCTTAACGGTTTTTACTAATTACTAACCTACTGTTTTATTTTATTTGCCTCTTGAAAATATCCTCAAGGTGTAAGTAAGGTAACTAGTACCACATCATGACACTCTGTCAAAGCTATTTGTAAAAGCACTAAACAAGCATGGAGGCTGGAGTTGAAGCAGGAATTACAGATGGGAGAGTGTGACCTTGGGAAATCCATAACCTTTCTGCTTCTTCATATTGTCTCCTTTAAGATGACAGAATTAGGTAAAATGTCTCTGAGGTCCCTTCTGAATGTAACACCTCTGTTAGCAAATATTCTTTTAGGACATCCTCAGTGGCATCTCTTGACGTCTTTTCTGACCTCTGATAAAAATGAATCTCCTCCGGCCAGCGCTGTGGCACAGTAGGTTAATCCTCCGCCTGTGGCACCAGCATCCCATATGGGCGCTGGTTCTAGTCCCGGCTGCTCCTCTTCCAATCCAGCTCTCCGGCCTGGGAAAGCAGTGGAAGATGGCCCAAGCACTTGGGCCCCTACACCCGCATGGGAGACCCAGAAGAAGTTCCTGTCTCCTGGTTTCGGTCAGTCCAGCTCCAGCCATTGCAGCCACTTGGGGAGTGAACCAGTGAATGGAAGACCTTTCTGTCTCTCCCTATCACTGTCTATAATTCTACCTCTCAAATAAATAAATAAAATCTTAAAAAAAAAAGGATCTCTTCTTTCAGCTGCTATGGTGCTTTGTTCTGATCCATTTCACTGCAATATATTGTTCTATTCTGCATCAAGTTAGGTGTGTTTTATTTCTTGACACTGTTCCTTTCCCAAAACTGTGGATTCTTGAAAGTGTCAGTAGAGTCTTTGCAATGCCCCAAAAGCCTGGTAGAATGTGTTATAGTAGCATGTGAATAAGCACTTAATGCATATTTACTACCTGATAATAAATCAATGGATGAATTGGAAAAGAGTAATATCATGGTAATTCTTGCTGAAAGAAATAAATACCAAGATATTAGGGACTTAATTGAATAATTAAAGAAATTTGACCCAGGATTATGAACTTTAGTCATCATGGGTAGCAATTCCAGAAAAGAAATACAATATATAGCCAAAACATAAGACCAGTATACAGTGTGTTTAATGTATAGATATAGAAACAAGTATATAAAGGGAGGTCATACTACCAAGCGACAAGGAGCACAGAATTTAGAGAAATGTGCCTGATCTTCATTCTGCATCTGATATTTTGTATGACCTTGAGAAAGTTATGTAGTTTTCTGTCTCAGTTTTATCATCTGTGACACTGGGGTATCTACTTCATAGAGTTGTAAGAATTATTTGTCCATATTAAGTCTTCAACAAATATTTGTCATTATTTTATAATTGGCACTTAAATATTTCAATATGTCTGCTCTTGAGTACACAAAATGGTAATAACAATGAAAGATTTTTCTTAGAAGCCCTGCAAGATTTTCCAGCACTTAGGACTAGCAAATTCTACTCACATCATTGTATCAGTACAAAAATATCTTAACATAAAAATAGCTAAAAAGCACTGATGCATTTAAAAAATGACCTGAATTCTCATTCATGCCAAGCCAGTTTCTAATTCCAGGTTGAGAATCCTGCAAGATTTACTCATTCAAACAATAGCAAAATATAAACTGCACATTGTACTTATTGTCTTAGTAATGTATGCACAACAAGTAAAAAAT